AGTACATTCATTGAAAGGATGTAGATTTCCTGGTTAAAAAAACTCTTAAAGTTTTAATATTAAATATTTTAGTGACTCTAATTGGGCTTTAAAATTTATGAATTGTTACATCATAACAAGTAAAAATATCACAAAGCAGCTAGTAGTTAAATTTTAGATCTTTGATTTCTAAGTTAGTTTTATTTTTTTAATCTTAACAACTATACTGTGCACGTTCTCCCTCTCCAACCGTCTATGCCCATTTTAAAGCTGTGGGATAAACAGAGTTTGAATGTATTTAAGATGGGGACTTAATCCAGATTTCCTGAAATAATTTTTCTTTTACTTAAAATGTTTTTGCCTGAAAATATATTTATTATTTTAAAAATATAATGTTCATTTTTAAAATGAACTAGCAGAAGATATATGCAAATCATAAGATAGTGTTTGTGATCGTGGATGAAAAATGAAATTCTCTGTAAGTAGCCTGGCATGCATGTAGACTTTCTAGAAAATTTTCTTTAGCTCTAAATAACTTGAAAGAATGAAGTATAAATTAAAAGATTCCATATGTAGCTTGTAAGTACTAAATTTTAATTTAGATCTAAAATCTAAATTAAATTTCACTAAAGGTCTACCAACCTAGAGACTGCATATTTCCCAATTAGAGGATGGACTACTTCATCTTTAAAAGCATGTAGAAAGTGAAAAAGAACTCCTTCGTCAATTTCCATTTTTAAACAGTTTATGAATCAAAGTAGAATGTATCACTTCGAAAGTGTTTAGAGGTATTTAATTATGCTTTTTGACTAGACTTCTTCTTTTGAGTGAGAGATTGTCCTGTAGGACTGTTCTAATTTCCTCACTAAATTTACTTCTGCCTCAAGTTCTGCCATGAAATAAGCTTAAACTTTGACTTCTTAATGGGAATAATGCCATTTAAATTAATGCAGTTTTCTAGTTTCATAGCTATGTGGCTAACCAAGTACCCACATATCTGCAGTTTAATATATTGTATGATTTTGATTTTGCTTTGTAGAACTGATGCTTGTAATTTAGGCGGTGAATCACTTCCTTAAATCCCAACAGTGTAAGATTGCATCTTAAGAGCTGTGGTCCCCACCTCCCAGGCCAGGGGTGGGCCAGTATTGCAGAACTCTGTTGACCCCTGCTCCTCCTGCTCCCGCCCGCCCATGGAAATACTGTCTTCCATGAAACCTGTCCCTGGTGCCAAAAAGGCTGGGGACTGCTGTCTTAGAGCACAAATTTTGGAATCAGATACACCTAAGATCAAATCCCAAATTTTCTTATTTCCAACTGTGTCATGTAGAGCAAGTATTTTTACCTTTCTAACTTTTAATTTTCATATCTATGAGGGAAGGACAGCAAAACTTACTCCT